TGTTGGGTATGGGTTAATGTTGGACTTGTGGGCTTGGGCAGCATTGGGTTGGGATGTTTTCGTGATGCACATTTTCTTTGCATAAAACTCTCTCTCATATGTGAGTCGCCGTGGATTTGTTTCTCCAAAGTACCTACACTAATACACTGACTGAGTAAAAGTCTATGCTAACTCATAGCAACCCTACAGGACAGGGTAGAACTGACCGTGTGAGTTTGAGACTATTTTTCCCATGGAGCCACTGGAAGTTTCAAATTGCTGACCTTTTCGGTTAGCAGCCAGATAACCACTATGCCACAAGGGCTCCTTAGTAAATAAAATTGCTCTCAAAACCCATTATTAACAAAGCCCCCCAAATTCAGATTCTTGATTCACTCGGAGCATTAATGTCAGAATGCACGGCCAATAATGTACTGTCTGCTGGTCAAGTTGTCCAACCCCCAGTAGAACACAATCCAAGTGCTCGCTGACCCTGCTGCCTCGTGTGCTCTAGTGGGATGGCGGTACTCAAGCTAAGCACCAAAAAGGCTCTTACCCTCGTCTCTTAAGGTGAAGCGACCCATCTGAGGGAAGTCTTTGAAGGTCTCCAGGCAGATGGTTCCTGCTGTTCTTAAGCGAGCGATGCATACTTGATCTTGTTTCACGAAACGGGGCCGAGTCTTACTTTTTTCTCCAGATTTTTTGTCTACCAAGCAGATTAAGGCCTATCCGAGAAAAAAGCATGAGAAGATAACAAAAAACCCAAAAATATTCTGCTAAGGATGGAAATAAAAACACATCACTGTTGGCTATCAGAAATCATCAAGATGAAGTTAACTTTACAATCAGGAAAAAGTAAATTATCTGAAAGCAAACTCACTGTTATTTCGACTTCCTCAATACAGGTATGAATATGCAGCACCGCATTATAACCAGGGCAGATGATGGATTTGTGCTCAATAATCACTATCTGTCAAAAAACCAAAACAACCTTATCTTTATCCTCCAGTCAGAAAGGAATGGAGTGTTAAGTATCACAGAGTATCAGAGAAAGAGTAACCCACCACCTAAGAGGCAGTGACAAACGATTTCTGTGTTGGAGTGATGGGTCAGGTTAATTTTGTCACAGGAAGGATCAAGTTGCCTAATCGCACAGCCTGAACTTGAATACCCTCTACCCTACTGATCTTCTTGGCAAGCACCTGTCTGACCGTAAAAAGCACAGAACGCAACCCTCCTCCGCAGGCCAACCTTTCTGCTTTCCTCCCCAAGGAATTACAGCAATTGTTCGAGATCACACGGGACTGCGGTTTCCTAGATGTGAAAGGATTATAGTTTTATCTATTTCTTCATATCCAAGGTCCAGTGAAAGGAAACCACGTCACATTCTCTGTAAGTTGATTCAGCTTGTTCGCATACTGAACACTTCGTTATAACAGCTGGAAGATTCTGTTAGCCCACTCTTTACTAACGCACTCTCCTGTGGGGGTCAGGTTACTAACAACAGGAAAAGAAGGACACTTTCCTGCTTGGAGAGTTTACTCTGGAAGAGCAGTCAGGCCATGACTTACTTCCAAGGTGACTGAGTCCTACTTTAAAGTGAAGGGCATTTTATGCACAAGGGTAAGTAATTATATATTACTGTTAATATCTATTTTATAAAGGGAATATTAGGTTCTCTAAAAACTAACAAAGGAGATACTAACCACATTAAAGGATACTTTACAAAGAAAACTATTCAGTTGTGGCATCTAAAACAATGGTTCTCAACCTGTGGGTCGCGATCCCTTTGGGTGTGTGTGTGTGTGTGTGTGTGTGTGTGTCAAATGACCCTTTCACAAGGGTCGCCGATTCATAACAGTAGCAAAATTACAATTATGAAGTAGCAATGAAAATAACTTTATGGGTTTTTTTTTTGGGGGGGGGGGGGGTCACCACAACATAAGGAATTGTATTAAAGGGTTGCAGCATTAGGAAGGTTGAGAACCACTGGTCTAAAACAAGGGTCAGCAAACTACGGCTTGCGAGTCATATGCAGCTTTCAGTACATACATGTGGCTCTGAAATAAAGTTGAACAAGTTATTCAGATAATGGTGATTTCATTTGTTTGTAAACAGATATCTTTATGGCTTTCAAATAATTTTTAAATTGTTGAGAGGGACAGGACTGGCTCTTCAGTCTCCAGTTTGCTGGCTCCTGATGTAGAAGACCCTGTGGTGGTCATTTATGGTACTTCAACTCCCTTTCTATATACTAGTTTGTATTCAGGGGCATGCTATCTGTTACTCAAGACAAGCAGCATGTTAAATCCAAGTTTCACGTCGACAGTCAAGAGAACTAAGTTAACTGACTTACCTGCGCATCAAATGTCCGTCCAGAATGACAGAGATTATTAGGATCACAAAGTATGAACCCTGGAAGAATCTCTTCTTCTTCAATCCCTTTCAGCCTGATTTTGAGGTTTTCACCTGGGGCTACCGAGTCTGTTTCTACATCATCAGAAAGGATTCCAAGAACTTCCACATTGTGCTAAAAAAAAAAAAAAAAGCCAGACTGGAGGTTGCCCAGATGCTGACTCCGTTGGGGAATACAGCCTAACCCAGTATTTGCCCAGGCTACCTGGCTGGCTCCCTCCCTGTTTGTGGGTGTGGATTAGTCAACATACTCATTTGAATATAAAGCACCACTGTACTCGCATGACATATCACCGAGTAAAACATTACATTATCATCTTTTTAATAAGAAACGCTAATATTTTCAAGTTTGTATAAAATAGTATTTATCTCTTTTACGGTTTTAAAATAAAAAACGAAATTTAACACTTGGATTTTACTTCTATAGAGGTCATTTTTATTCTATGGGACTGGAGGGTCTACCAGGCACATCTTCAAATCCAGCCAAACCCCAAATTCACAAAGCACACGCCTCAGCAGTTATTTTAACTTCAATTAGGCTTAAGCACACTGACTTAATTAACGGTGCAGACCTTCGTTTTGAGTTGATGCAAATGTTCTGAACTAGATACAGGTGATAGGGTTGCCCACCCAGGGTAAATTTCATGCTGCAGGGGCTTTAAAAAGTTCATGGGGGGAAAAAATGTTCATGGGTAAGTGGAATTGAAATATACTGGAATTTTCCCACAAACTTTTGAAGCTCCCTTATGTGTGTATTTTACCACAATTTAAAGTGGTTATCTATCAGGAAAAAAATGCCTAAAGTGATACCCTAAGTACTCCTGTATTTTACTCCATTTCTGCCCATCGAAAGAACGGATTAAAAAGAAGTGCAAAAACCTTCCAAAGAACAGATATGAAGAAGCAAGACCAAACCACACACAGCTCTCAAGACAGAACAAACTCATGATGGCAAATGGCACTGGACACTCCAGAATCACTATCACGTTCCATGCAGGATTCAACACAGTGCAAGCTCCCAAACAACGGTTTTCTTTCCCCAAAGGCAGTTTATACCTAAATCATTTATGCCTGCTACAATTATTCCAAGAACTGAAAGAGAGCCACATGACTGAATATGGCGAAGTTTTTCAGTCAAAAGGGGCAGGCCCACACCAGCAGCTCACCACACACAAATCTATCTAGTATCCTGCCCAAACAACGCAGCATAGAAATAAATTCTTTCTCCCCACCACTGAGCTCTGGTGTTCTGACTTCGCAGAGCTTTGGCTGCAAGTGCACAGCCACATTAATAAATGAACTCTTGTAGCCACGTTCCTAATAATATGAGATTAAGTTCTGAAGTATTGGTGTGCTAACCATAAAGTCAAAGATTAAATCCCTCAGTTCCTCCCTGGGAAAAAGATGAGGCTATGTGCTCTTAGAAAAACTACATTGCGCTACAAACTTGCAGCGTGTTGCCTCAGCTTCTCTACCATAGGAGACCAACTCAAAGCTAATCTCTGCAACAGAAACTTCATGACAGAAGGAGAATTCTCTAGGCTCCTCGCTCACTTGTTCTTTGTGCTGTGATGAACACAGGCAGCAGGGAAGTGATGCAGGCAGAAAACGGTCGGTTGCCATGAACTTTCATGTAGGAACCAAGAGCTAAGGGACTCACCTATAAAAGGTGTAATGATTGGTTGGTTGGTTTTTAAAAATTGGCCCATACCGTGGAACAATGTTTTACAATGTCAAATAGTTTGATCTCTTAAGTCTTTTTGAAATATCTTCGCCTAGTTCCACTGAGGCTTGGGAGAACTACACTGAAACCCATCTGCCCAGCTATCAGTATAAAGCCTCACCTTATACACAGAATACCCACTTCCCTTGCACCTTTGCACTAAAGCAGCAGTTATACATAGGCATTAAATTCCTTAACTCATAGTGAATTGCACGTTTTATTGTGGTAAAATACATGTACCATTTTATAGTGGCATCTAGTGTGTACAGTGTTACGTCCGTAACCACTCTCTAGTTCCACACTCCTATCCTCTACAACAGAAACCCCAAGTCCATTATGCAGCTGCTTCTCTCAGCTCTCCAACACTGCTTGGTGTCAATGAAGGAATGCCACTTCTGTGACCCCTCTATCAGCAGAACTGAGCAAGGGCTCAGGTATTCTTTTCACTTACTCGGCATGCTACAGTTTGCAAAAGCTACCCCCCTTAGAAACACCAAGCCTTAAAATAGAAACACTTCAGAACTTAGATACCCTAATCTCCAAAGCAGAACTAAAATTCATAAGGTGCCAATTATACCTAAACATTATACTGGCCATGGAAACCTTAAGACAAACTCAAACTTTCTAATTCACTGTGTAATGAGCACAGTAAGGAAATTCTACTAAAGAGCTCTCTCCAGAGGTTCTGAAGGTACCAGGCTGTTTTCCTACACCAAGTAACATCTGTGGAGTGGTCAGAGAAGTCCTCTCCGCCCGAGAAACCGACCGTAGGCAGGTATTAGCAAAGGAGTGGCCAGAAATGACAAAAGAATCATCCAGGGAGCGTTTACAGGTTTTAATGAATGGCTCCAATGAAGAGTAATTGAGATCAGGGTTTGGACCCATCATGTACAGTGTCCACTACTCTCCTCTGCTTTCTAAAAACACTACATAGACCATGGTGAAACCTGAGTTTTTGCCCCCAGCTCTTTCTGATCCATTTTTTTTTAACTCCAGATCTCTCTCTCTCTCCTTTCTATAAAACAGTGGGACTGAGACCAATAAGCTTTCTTTTAGGGCAAACTTGAGTACAGAAAGCCCTAAAACAAGGTCTTAACACCGACCTGCTAATTGAATAGCACTAACACCATGTTAACATGCTCAAATTGTGAAAGAAAGTAATTCTGAATATTATTGTTACATAAGTTTCCTTCAAAGGAAACTCACAAGCTTTGGAAACGTCTGGCTCTTTGCTAGCTTTTTCAAGGAAAAATTAGGTTGGAAAGAGCACTCTGCTTCTTACCTTGTTTGGCATCATCACAAGCTGCTGGCCTTTGCAAATTGATCCCGATTCCAGCTTTCCCAGGACCACAGTACCCATATCCTGGGGAAACAAAGTAAGTCCCCAGGCTGTATTAGTGTTCTAAAATGGCCCCAGATGAACATTTCAAAGGCGTACTCATAAAGGAAAATCTTCAACACAGGGTGGTTGAAAACGATAAAATAGGCATGCCTAAGAAAACATGGAGCAGGGTTCCCAGTTTTAGACCGGATGTAAATTTCTTGGAGCCTGTTCCTCGTATAACCACTGCCATCAGCGCTGCACTGCGTATGGGTGGAAGCAGACACAGTAACTGGCAGGCCGAGGCATTTGTAAGATAGGCCACACCAAGCTCACCGAGTCGATGCTGACTCATAATGGCCCTACAGGACACGGAAGAATGGTTCCAGGGAGCTTCTGAGACTGGACCTCCTTCCTAGAGAAGACAGCCCCATCTTTCTCCCTTCATGCAGCTGACTGGTGCTTTTGACCTGATGACCTTGTTGGGGGGAGCAGCTCAATGCCGAACCACTACACCAGAGAGGGGGCTTAAAAAACTTCATGTAATTAAAAGTAACTAGTTAAAAAAGGAACTTATGTTTTTGTTTTGAATTTAAAGATTTACTCTGTTGTTGAACTGTAGTAAAACTCAAGTATACTACTGGTAATATAAATTGACAGTGTGTTTTTGGAAAGTTATTTATCAATATCCACCAACTTGACAGTTTATCTTTAGGACAGGACCATAATATCATTGGAAGTGAAATAAACCAATCTGGTTAAATAAATTCAGATCTATCTATACCTCTAATTATGCAACCATTAAAATAAAGTCTTTGTTATATTTTTGTGAAAAATAGAACAAAAAGGTTCCAATTTCTTCAGCATTTTGGTTACCTTGTACTTATCCACAATTGGCAGCCTGATTGGTCCATCAACTGATCTATTGAAGTTTGGCAAATTATCCAGATATGGAATAAATGGTAACCCACTAAAAACATAACAGCAATGAAAGAAAGTCAACAAAAACATCAAAATTTACAAGAATCTGTAACTTCCTCAAAAACATTATAACAATATTTTCATTCAACCCATGTACTTTACTCATTCAACCACATCTCAGGGAACCGATTACATGGAACTG